TCCCTGCCTCAGTCCTAAAGGGTTTGTCCTTGTCCTTGAGCTATGGCACCTGCTTCTGGACTCCCCCACCATTGGGAACATCTTTCTTACATCTAAACTGTCTAGACCAGTTTGAATTTCCTTAGTTTCTATGAGATATCCCCTGTTCTAAATTCCAGCAAATACAATCCTAACCAATTTAATCTCTCCTCATACATCTGTCTTACCATCCCAGGAATCAATTTTGTATAGGTTCACTGCACTCCTTCTGTCGTAAGAATATCCTTCCTCAGATATGCGGACCAAAACTGTACACAACATTCCAGTTATGGCCTCACCGATGTCCTGTGGGATTGCATGGTGCACACTTCAGCCATACATGACTAGGTTATTTTTCAAAGAATCGAGCTGGATATTTTATGAGAAAGTGGAATCAGGTGTCATTTGAGTTAAGGAAAAACTGCCTAATGACATCCTTTGGACTGGTCCAGCTGCTGTTTGGTACAGGTTTAAGAGTGCAGTGCACTTAAACACCCAGAAGCCTGCACATAAGTAGCATTTATCACCATTTCTCTGAGTGAAAAAGACAAAAACAATTCTAATGCAAGAAAATACTTAGGTGCACCTGATCAGCTACTGACCATCATTCTGTAGACAACTTTGTGTCAAACGGACTGCAAGACAGAATTCAATCATTGTGGTCTGAACTTTGATCAACACTCTTACACCTATGGTATGTGTCAAAATTTTTCTTTGTCGTCTCATTTGTGAATATATGTGAGTCTGTGTGTGTTTGGAGTTTGAACTTAAGTTGCAAAGTAGTACATTTGTAAATATTTTACCATTTGTTAAAGAATACACTTGCTTACGATAATTAAAGTTATTCTCTTGTTAATGACAGAACTGGTAAAGAGTGTAGGTGAAGCAGTCAGACCTAGTAAAAGCTTGAAAAGAATTGATAAATGGAAGTAACAAAGTCCTTACAGAAGGAGAATCAGATGCAGCAGTCCTATTTCATTTTTTTGGCTCCAAGTTAAGGTGAAGATTTCCATTAGGGAAGAGGGGAAAAAAAAACTTTAAATTAATAACACATGGGATCAAAGAATGCAAAGACTGGGAAAGACAGAAGTTAAGGAAAGAATAATTACCGCTCACAATGACTATTGCTAACATAATGAGCGAACACCGCGAGGTACAGCTGCAGTTGCAAAGTCCACAGTCATAAATTTAATTTATACCAAGACAGCAGCAACTGGAACATCATGCAGCAGATTTAATGCAATGGAAGGGCAATGTAAAGATGAAGAACTCATAGTCTAACTGAGGAGGAGAGTTAGAAGAGTTTTAAAGCTGTTACAAGGATGGAAGATCAATAATTTAAACCGTGAGATTTGCTAGAAAGATGTATTAAGGTTGTAACAATAAGATATTCAAATAAAAGCAAAATACTGCTGATGCTGGAAATCTAAAACAAATACAGATTGCTGGTCTGGCATTCTGCTGAGTTTCTCCAGCATTCTCTGTATTAGCTACAAAACATTGTTCGGAAAATTGTGGAAGGGAATGTACATGGCATTTGAAGCTGCGCAAGGTGTGAAAGTCTCCACTTAGCCTAAAAATGGAAAATATTCAACTCCACTACAAAAACCAGAAAATCTCCATTTTTCCCACAGAAGGCAGGAAACGGTCATTTCGACTGCAAGAAGATGGCAAGAGCCACTGGTAAGCAGTATTTAGACACAACATTGTTATTTGATACAATTTAAAGTTTTGTTAGAAAAAAATACAATAATGCTACATGCACAGTTCAAAAGTTTGTAAAACGATGAAAAAAGAAAATAACAGCATTACTATTTACAGAACTAAATGTCTTCCAATGAAAGAGATGAAAACAGCATTGTTTTACTGAAAGCTTAAAAAATTTAAAGCCAGAAATACAGCAACATTTAGGTACAGCAGCATGACTACAGCTTCAAAGGAAGAATCACAAATAATTACAATCAGAACACATGGCAAAGAAATGATATTGTCACAAAGATTTAATATGAGAGATAAGCAAATGAAAAACATTGGGCATATTGAAGAAAACAGTTCTAAGATGCAGAATTAGTTCAAACTTAAGTACTAAATCTCAGTCAACAAAAATACACTAACCTATTCAATAGGGTCTACGACTACTGACAGTATAAATTACCAAAGCATAAAAGGAGACTAAGGAAATTTTGAAGGAACTCTTCAAGCTTTTCATCTGAAAACAAATAAGGCTCTTAAAAGAGCATGATTGAATATACGAGTTCTGCATCCAGGACAATCCAATGGATAATTTCCTTAATGAATTTGATAGATAAGTGAAAAACCATGGTCATGGAGCTTTGAAGTCATTAGAAATGGAATTACTTGTGAAATTATTGGTAAATCTTTGTCAGATATATTAAAGTTCAAAGAAAATTTTGTTTTGCAGAAAGTGATTCAAGTTATACTGGGAGCAGGAACTGGACAGACTCTCCAATAAAGCCTAAGAGAAGGACAACTTTATCAAAGGAAAGCAACACAATCCAACAACTTTAAAAAAATATCAACATTGTAAAGACTCATATGACTAGCCAATACAAATAATAGAGCAAAGAGCAAAAATTAAGAGTCAATGTCAGCGCTGCAGAACAAAGACACCTTACAGCCACAAGTAGCATCCAGTTATTACAAAATACCACAACTGTAAAATTATAGGTCAATTTGAGATGGGCAGAATTAGGACACACTTTCAGAGCAACAAATAGGCTAAACAGCTACTCAAAAAAGATGTTAATGCATTAGAACCACCAACAGCTAGGACATTCCAACAATAAAATCGGTACTTCAACTGACCTGAGTTTGACAGAACCCATGTTTCCCATTTCTGAAAATGAAAAGCCCTCTATTTCAGTTTAGTGAAATCTATTTGTTCTTTTGAAAGAACCTCTCAAAACTGTATTTGCTGAGTAAATACCAAGAAGCATCTGCTCAGCAATAACCTGCTCACTGATGCCCAGTTTGGGTTCCACCAGCTCCTGATCCCATTACAGCTTTGGTTCAAACATGAACAGAAGAGCTGAATTCCAGAGGTGAAGTGAGAGTAACAGCCCTTGACATCAAGGCTACATTCAACCAAGTGTGGCATCAAGGACTTCTAGCAAAACTGGAATCAATGGGCTTTGGGGGGCAAACTCTGCACTGGTTGATGTCATACCTGACACATTGGAAGATGGTCGTGGTTGTCGGGGGTCAGTCAGCTCAGTTCCAGGACATCTCTGCAGCAGTTTCTCAGGGTAGTATCCTCGACCCAACTATCTTCAGGTGCTTCATTAATGACCTTGCCTCTATCATAAGGCCAGAAGTGGGAATGTTCACCAATGCTTGCACAATGTTCAGCGCCATTCGTGATGCCTCAGATACTGAAGCAATCCATGTTCAAATGCAACAAGATCTGCATAATATCCCGGCTTGGACTGACAAGTGGCAAGTAACATTCACGCCACACAAATGCCAGGCAATGACTATCTAACCACTGCCCCTTGACATTCAATTGCATTACCATCACTGAATCCTCCACTATCAACATCCTGGGGGTTATCATTAATCAGAAATTCAACTGGACTCACCATTCACACATTGACCTGCTCATGTAGCCAGAGGGTAGGAACACTGCAGTAAAACCTGTCCACCATCTACAAGGCACAAGCCAGGAGTGTGATGGAATACTTCACAGTTGCCTGGAGGACGCAGCTCCAACAACACTCAAGAAGCTTGACAAAGTCCAGAACAGAGCAATCCACTTGATTGGCATGACATTCACAAGCATTCACTCCCTCCACCACCGACACTCAGTACACACTGCTGCTACTATCTAAAAGATGCACTGCAGAAATTCATCAAAGATCCTCAGACAGCACCTTCCAAATCCAGAATCATGTAAAAGGACAAGGGCAGCAGATACTTGGGAACACCATCAGCTTCAAGTTCCCCTCCAAGCCACTTATCATCCTGACTTAGAAATATATCACAATTCCTTCACTGTCGCTGGGTCAAAATCCTGGAATTCCCTCCATAATGGCACTGTGAGTCAACCCACAGCAGGTAGACTGCAGCTGTTCAAGAAGGCAGCTCAGTCCCACGTTCTCAAGGGCGACTAGGGGTGGGCAATAAATGCCAGCCAGCGATGCCCACATCCCACAAATGAATTTAATAAAAGCTGCATCTGCAAGACTTCAGAGACAACCATGCATGATTAGTAACTTGACCATACATGCCAGAACATTAGAGTTACACACACTAGAACATCCTACATGTTATCCTTTGGTTTCAAGGATTACCCACTGGCCAAAGTCTGTTTTCTATCCCCGATCAGTTCATCCCTGGCTTTTCCTTATCACCTTTCTTAAATAGTGGCATAATGTTAGCCAACCTCCAGTCTTCCGGCACCTCACCTGTGGCTATCGACGACACGAATATTGCAGCAAGTGCCCAGCAATCTCTTCCCTCTCTTCCCACAGAGTTCTAGGATTTATAATGCCGATAACAAGAAATAACAATCAATTCCTGCATTAATTCACTCTCAAATGAAATATTATGTTCAGATGTGGCAAGCATGCTTTTCAGTTCCCACAATAATGAAGCTTCATTGACTCCATTCAATGTTTCCAATTAAAGACACTTCTACAGTTGTAAACACAGCATTGCACACAAGTGCTTTAGAGCTTGATCTTTGGTGAAAGTGCCTGGCAATAATCATGCAATCTCTTTGGATTGAAATACAATCATGTACAGATGTGTGTCCCAGTCTGCCGCCCTCTACTCAAAATACAATCTGAATCTCAAATGCACAATTAAATAAATTCCTTTTCACAAATATTCTCAAGTTCATATGTAACCAAATCCAAAATTCTTTTCCTCAAGAAATCGCAACATTTGACATTTTAAAGTGAGCCAAACTTCTTTAGGCAAAGTTAATTTTTTCTAACAGAATTGAAATACATGAAGTTTACCTCAACTAGCAATGCTTCTTTTTTCTTTCCTGATAAATTGACATGTTTCTCCAAAAAGCTGTAGTATTTCTCAGTTTCTTTGTCGTACCTTTTCTTTTCTTCCTAAAAGTGAATAACACAAATGGCACAGATTACAATCGAAATATTTTAGTTAGCCTCCTAAATAAAGCTGGGCTGCAAGGCTCCTCCCAACATTTGATATTTCAGGGAATGAAATTCAATTTATTACAGAGTTTGGGTTATATCCAAATAAGTCAGCATACTAGCATTCAAGCACTGCCTGTAAATTAGCATTACAATTTGGATGAAGATTGGATGCAATCTGGGGCACAATGTATCCAGTCTGTTTGCTGCAATGGATTATAACTTCCTGGTGCCTTTCACTTCACTTTCAGAAGCCTTTCAGTCCTTCCTATAATACACACAAAAAAAATGCTTCTCTTTCACAATGTGAAATGAATGAAGCTCAGTTCCACCAGTCAATAAATGTTTCTCTTTTCAAAAAAGTACAACAGGTTGAAGTGATAGCAACTGCTTTGTACATTACACTATATATTAATATAGTGATGAAGAATGCTTTTAATTCTTTCTCCCAAAACAATACATATAGAACATAGAACAGTATAGCACAGTACATGCCCTTCGGCCCATGATGTTGTGCCGAACTTTTACCTGAAACCTAAGGTCTATCTAACCACCACCCCTACCTTATACTATCATCCATATGCCTATCTAATAGCCGCTTAAATGCCCCTAATGAGGCTGACTCCACTACCCTCTCCGGCAATGCATTCCATGCCCCAACTACTCCGAGTAAAGAACCTATCTCTGACGTCTCCCCTATATCTACCTCCACTCACTTTAAAACTATGCCCCCTCCGAATAGCTACCTCCACCCTAGGAAAAAGTCTCTGGCTGTCTACTGTATCTATACCTCTGATCATTTTGTACACCTCTATCAAGTCACCTCTCATCCTTTGTCGCTCTAAAGAGAAAAGACCCAGCTATCTCAACCTTTCCTCCATTCCAGGCAACATCCTGGTAAATCTCTGCACCTTTTCTAACACTTCCACATCTTTCCTGTAATGAGGCGACCAGAACTGGACACAATACTCCAGATGTGGCCGAACCAGGCTTTTGTATAGCTGGAGCATAACTTCACGGCTCTTGAACTCAATCCCTCTATTAAATGAAAGCTAACACCCCATAAGCCTTCTTAACAACTTTATCCACCTGGGTGGCAACTTTCAGGGAACTGTGAACATGAACCCCAAGATCCCTCTGCTCCTCCACACTGCCAAGAATCTTTCCGTTAACCCTGTATTCTGCTTTCAAATTTGTCCTTCCAAAATGAATCACCTCACACTTTTCAGGGTTAAACTCCATCTGCCACTTCTCAGCCCAGGTCTGCATCCTATCAATGTCCCTTTGTAACCTAGGACAGCCCTCCACACTATCCACAACTCGGCCCAACTTCATATTATCCGCGAACTTACTAATCCACCCTTCCAGTCCTACATCCAAATCATTTACAAAAATCACAAATAGAAGAGGACCCAGAACAGATCCTTGTGGCACACCACTCGTAACTGAGCACCATTTTGAATATTTTCCGTCCACTACCACCCTTTGTCTTCTAAGGGTCAGTCAATTCTGAATCCAATCTGCCACATTTCCCCCTATCCCATGCCTCCTTACTTTCTGCGTGACCCTACCATGGGGAACCTAAACAAACACCTTACTGAAATCCATGTATACCACATCCACTGCTCTACCTTCATCCACTTGTTTGGTCACCTCTTCAAAGAATTAACATATAATTGATATCTCCAAAGACTGTCTACTATCTCGAAAGCACACCTCAAGAATGTGATGGAATACTCTCCACCTGCATGGATGGCTGCAACTCTAAGAACATAATCCACTTGATTTGATCAGTATCTCATTTACCACCTGCAAAGGCCGTGGCCATGACAACACTCCGGCAACAGTAAATGAAGACCTGTGCTCTAGAACTTGATGCATCCATGGTCAAGCTGTTCCAGAACAGCTACAACATTGATATCTCCCTAAAAACATGGAATACAGCCCAGGTATGTCCTGTACTCAGAAAGCAGGATAAATCCAACGCAGTTAATTACCAGCCCAGTCTACTCTTGACGATCAGTAAAGTAATGAAAGGTGTCATCCACAGTGCTATCAAGCAGCACCTGCTCAGAAGTAACCTGCTCAGTGACAAAAACGGAAGTCGCTGGATAAGCCCAGCAAGTCTGGCAGCATCTGTGAAGAAAAGTCAGAGTTAACGTTTCGGGACCAAGGAACTGAGGAAGGATCACTGGACCTGAAATGTTAACTCTGATTTTTCTTAAAGTTTGAGAAGATTTGTAGCTCAGGTTGTGGATATGGTTATAGACTTGCTCGCTGAGTTAGTGTGTTTGATTGCAGATGTTTCGTCACCCTGCTAGGTAACATCAGTGTGCCTCTGGTGAAGCATTGGTGTTCTGTCCTGCTTGTTATTTATATGCCTTGGTTTGCTGGGGTGGTTGGCATCACTTCCGGTTTTGGTTTTCAGCGGTTTATATATGGGGTCCAGTTCAATGTGTTTGTTGATGGAGTTCTGGTTAGAATGCCAGGCCTCCAGGAATTCCCTGGCCATGTCTCCATTTGGCTTGTGCTATTATGGATGTATTGTCTCAGTTGAATTCGTGTCCTTCTTTGTCCGTGTGTACTAAGACCAGTGAGAACTGGTCGTGTCTCTTGGTGTCTAGATGGTTTGTGTATCCTTACCCTCAGTTTTCTTCCAGTTTGGCTGTTGTGATGTTTATCACAGTCCTTGCATGATATTTTGTATATTACATTAGTTCTATTGGTTGTGGGAATGGGATCCTTTACATTCGTCAGTAGCTGTCACAGGGTGGTCATTGGTTTGTGGGGCTACCCTGATACCTAGGGGTCTGAGTAGTCTCGTGGTCATCTCTGATATTCGGTACAGGGACTAGTGTGTCTGGCTGTGTTGTGTCTTTTTGTTGTGGTCTGTTGTGAAGGTAACGGCAGAATGTGCTTTTTGGGTATTCATTCCTTTTAAAAACTCTATATAAGTGCTCCTGTTCTGCTTTGCGCAATTCCAGATTGCTGTAATGTGTTGTCGCTCGTTTGAATAATGTTCTGATGCAGCACCATTTATGCGTGTTGGGGTGGTTGCTGGTTTACTTAAGTATCTCTGGTTGTGGTCTCCACTATACAATCCAAACTCTCGATTCGCTATGTAGATGACACTTTCGTGATTATCAAATGCACGAGACTAGAAGAAACCCACCGACACAAACAACATCCTCACCGGAATATAATTCACAAAAAGGAGAACAATAACTGACTACCCTTCCTAGACATAACGATGAAACGCAACAACAACAGGGACCTTCAGACCAGCATATATAGAAAGATCACCCATATGGCCCAGATACACATGTACACCAGCAAACACCCCAACATCCATAAATAGTGCTGCATCAGGACATTATTCAAATAAGCCACAACACAGTGCAGCAACCCAGAACTGCACAAAGCAGAACAAAAGCACTTACGTGGAGATTTTAAAAGGCATGGATACCCAAAAAGCACAATCTGCCATTACATCCGCAACAGACCACAACAGGAGGACACAACACAGTCAGACACACTAGTCACCCTAGCGTACATCAAGGACATTTCAGAGACGATCACAAGATTACTCAGACCCCTAGGTATCAGGATAGCCCACAAACCAACGACCATCCGACAACAGTTACTGACAAACATAAAGGATCCCATACCCACAACCACTAAAACCAACGTAATATACACCATGCAAGGACTATGAGAAACATTACACAGGCCAAACTGGAGGAACACACGAACACCAACTAGCCACCAAGAGACACAACCAGTTCTCACTGCTGTCAGTACACATGAACAAAGAAGGACATGAATCCGACTGGGGCAACACATCCATGGATCCATCAACAAACAAACTGAACTGGCCCCGATATACAAACCATTGAAAAACAGAACCGGAAGTAATGCCAACCACCCCAGCAAACTGAGGCATATAAATAACAAGCGGGACAGAACACTGATGCTTCACCAGAGGCGCACTGACGATGTTACCTAGCAGGGTGACAAAACGCCTGCAATCAAACACACTGGCTCAGTGAGCAAGTCTACAACCTCATGTAATTTTTCTTCACAGATGCTGCACACCATTCATAATTCTTCAGATACTAAAGCAGTCCATATCCAAATGCAGCAGGACTTGGACAATAGTCAGGCTTTGGTTGAAAAGTGGCAAAGTAACATTCACACCATGCTTATTGCTTGGCATTTCCATCTCCAACAAGAGAGAATCAAAGCATTGTCACTTCACATTCAATGTCTATACCATCACGAATCCCCTGCTTCAATATCCTGGGGGCTACCATTAACCAGAAACTCAACTGGCGTAGCCATATAAATATGGCTAAAAGAGCAAGTCAGAGACTTTGAGCTTTTCCAGCAATTTTTGTTTTTGTTCCTGATTTACAACATCCGCAGTTCTTTCAGTTTTTACCTGCTCAGTGATGCCCGGTTTTGGTTCTGCCAGGGCCACTCAGCTTCTCAACTCATTGCAGCTTTGGTTCAAACATGGACAAAAGAGCTGAATTCCAGAGGTAAGGTGAGAATGACAGCCCTTGACATCAAGCCCACACTTAACTGAAATCAATGGGGACCGGAGGCAAACTCGCCACTGGTTAAGTCACTCCTGGAACATACAAAGATGGCTGTGGTTGTTGGAGGTCAGACATCTCAGCTCCAGGACATCTCTGCAGGAATTCCTCGGAGTAGTGTCCTAGGCCCAACTATCTTCAGGTGCTACATCAATGACCTCCCTCCATCATAAGGTCAGGAGTGGGCATGTTTGCACCATTCATAATTCTTCAGATACTAAAGCAGTCCATATCCAAATGCAGCAGGACTTGGACAATAGTCAGGCTTTGGTTGAAAAGTGGCAAAGTAACATTCACACCATGGAAATGCCAGGCAATAACCATCTCCAACAAGAGAGAATCAAAGCATTGTCACTTGAC